ACCCGGGCAGGAAGATGCCGTGTCGTAGGCATGACGCTCTCGCCCGGAACGTCCTGCAGGGTCAGTGCGATTCCGACCCCGGCGCAGCCTCGCGGAGTGAGTTTAGAGCTCAAATACACGCAGCACCAACCGGGCGGACAATGCACCCGGGCCCCTTAGGGTCAGGTCGCCGGGTCGATGAGCGGCGTAGACGCAGGAAACGGTTAATACAGTCGGGCACGGCGCACGCAGACCGTTTCCAGGCCTTCTCAAACCACGCAGGCAACCCTGCGACTGAGGACAAGCGGCGGACGCGCCAGACCCAAATCCTCACGGACGTCTCCAGGCACTTGCTGACGTCTGGGGCGCCGCTGAACCCACTGCTTGAAGACGGGGTGAACCCCAGAGAGACAAGCGTCACCTGTCGCCGCGCGGCCCTGCACTGCTCGTTCACCGGCTGCGTCTTGTGCGTGGGCGGGCGCGCGGCACGCCCTGTTCACCGCCAAGCCCCCGGGGTCCGGGACCAGCCTGGCACGCGGTCGGCACCCGTGCGGGGGCTGACCAGGGCCGTGTGCTCAGCGAAACCGGAGACGCCAGAGGGCAGAGACGTCCTGGCACCCCGGGCGGGGAAGATGCCGCGTCGTAAACACGGCGCTTTCACCCGGAATGTTCTGCGGGTTTAGTGTGATTCGACCGCGTGCGCTACACGATGAGTTTTAGAGTTCAGCGGAAGGAACAAACACACACAAAAGACGATGTTCTGGAGGAAGAACGGCGGTGAAAGGCGCGTTCCCCGCCTGCGATTAAAATACTGATAGAGGGGCCAGGTGGCGGTGGCATCACCTATAATCTAGCTCTCTGGGAAGGCCGAGGCGGAGGAATGCTCGAAGTCAGGAGTATCAAAACCAGTCTGAGCAAGAGCGCGACCCATCTCTAACTATAAATAGAAATTAATTGGCCAACGATAAATATATACGAGAAAAAATTAGCCCGGGCATGGTGGTGCATCTTTGAGTCCCAGCTACTTGGGAGGCTGAGCAGAGGATCTTGAAGCCGGATTGAGGTTGCTGTGAGCTGGGCTGAACCATGGCCGCCACTAGGGCACATCTAGCCTGCGCAACAGGTGGAGACTGTGTCTCCAAAATAAATAAACCAAATAAAATAAAAATAAAACAACACACACATATATTATTATAATGCAGCCGCGCATGGGGTGCATCCCTGTAGTCCAGCTACTCGGGAGGCTGAGGCAGGAGGATCTGTTGAGCCCAGGAGAGATGAGGTGCTGTGAGCTAGGCTGACGCCCGACGGCACTGACATCTGACCTGGGCACAGAGTGAGACTCCTGTCTCAAAAAAAAATAAACAGCACCCACA